AGGAAGGGCACCCTAAATACCTCTAATATCCAGGACTTATTTATTTATCAAAGACCCCCTGAAAATTTATTCTCAAAAAATCCAGAGTTCAACAGGAGTCTAACAGGTGAAGCACTTATCTGACACAACAGTCAAAACCACCTTATTTGCTTTCACTCCTTCCTGGGACCGGTGTTGTTCAACATCTTCATCAACGACCTGGATGAGGGTATAGAATGTACCCTCAGCAAGTTTGCTGATGACACTAAGCTGGGAGGAGTGGCTGACACACCAGAAGGCTGTGCTGCCATTCAGAGAGACTTAGATAGGTTGGAGAGTTGGGCGGGGAGAAATATGATGAAATTCAACAAGGGGAAGTGCAGAGTTTTACATTTGGGGAAGAACAACACCATGTCCCAGTACAGGTTGGGGGCTGAACTGCTGGAAAGTAGTGTAGGTGAAAGAGACCTGGGGGTCCTGGTAGACAGGAGGATGACCATGAGCCAGCAATGTGCCCTTGTGGCCAAGAAGGCCAATGGCATCCTGGGGTGCATTAGAAAGGGTGTGGTTAGTAGGTCAAGAGAGGTTCTCCTCCCCCTCTATTCTGCATTGGTGAGGCCACATCTGGAGTATTGTGTCCAGTTCTGGGCCCCTCAGTTCAAAAAGGACAGGGAACTGCTTGAAAGAGTCCAGCACAGAGCTACAAAGATGATTAAGGGAGTGGAACATCTCCCTTATGAGGAAAGGCTGAGGGAGCTGGGTCTCTTTAGCTTGGAGAAAAGGAGACTGAGGGGTGACCTCATCAATGTTTACAAATATGTAAGGGGTGAGTGTCAGGGGGACGGAGTTAGGCTTTTCTCGGTGATGACCAGTGATAGGACAAGGGGTAATGGGTGTAAATTGGAGCATAGGAGGTTCAAGGTGAATATCCGAAAAAAATTTTTTACTGTGAGAGTGACAGAGCACTGGAACAGACTGCCCAGGGAGGTTGTGGAGTCTCCCTCACTGGAGACATTCAAAACCCACCTGGATGAGTTCCTGTGTGATGTACTCTAGGTGACCCTGCTCTGGCAGGGGGGTTGGACTAGATGATCTCTCAAGGTCCCTTCCAGCCCCTAAGATTCTATGATTCTATGGTTCTGTCCTATGTTGATGCCTCTTACTGCAGATAGTACCTACTCAGTGGGCAAAGCCTGTTTGCTGTTCCAGGTTTGCATTACAGAAAGCATGGGGGCATCCTGATCTGCTTCAAGCTCTCTGACACAGTGTAGCAGCAATGATGCCTGACCCCATTACATTTGTCCTGCCAACCACTGACACTGCACCCAACCTGTGATGAACCTGCAGTGTATGTACTAACAGAACACAATTTTTTTAAATGATTATTTGAAAATAATTTTCCTGCTCAAAATGAAGAAGACATGAGAGGCATATACCAGAGTGCAGCTGCCTGAACAGAAATACTGCAAACTTGGAAACTGTCATGTGTGAAGCAAGTTGTAGCTCATACCAAGTACGGTCCTTATGACAGAAGCTTTGTTTAGCCCATGTAATTATTTGTGTAAATGTAATTGCAGATTTCAGCATCTTGTTCTTCCCTTTTTTTTTTCTTTCGCTTTCTGCTTTACTGTATTTCTTCTGCTTTAGTTTGTTATTGCTATCTTTATTCAAATTAATATGTGTAAGTAACATGTTTGCATGTACTAAAGATTATTTCCTCCTTTCCCTGCTCTGCCAAGCACACAATGCACTAAATTACAGAAACACAGAGCTGGATCATGTATAAACCATTCATCGCAGATGTCTACTGAATCCTAGGGAAAGCCTTTCACAGCCTGTGCTTAAATATCCTTAGAAGGTTTTTTTTATCCTTACATTGCTCACTAAAAGAGAAACAAATTCCTTCTCTCTTCAGATAACAACTGATGCATGTCCTGCTTATCACAGCTTTTTATAACTTTGGAAGTTAGCTCCTCCCTCAGTATTTTCTTCCCGGGAAAAACAAATCCTTCAACTTTTCTCCTCATTGATCACTTAAAAATCCATCTCCTCTATTTCTACCATTCTTTAAACATTTACTGCCACCCCTCTGTAAGCTGAGGCCACAGCATTTTGGCTAAGGTCTCCACAGCACCACACCAAGGAGAATAGTAATTTCCCATGTCCATTTAATCATCCCAGAATGTCTCTCACTGGTGTTCAAAAGTACACAAAAATGACAACACATTTTTGCTTATAGCTACATTTTAACCTTTAAATTACATATTATATTAAGACCTTACAGAGAGAGTAGGAATGTTAAAAGTGCAGTATGAAACTCGGTGATAAGTGTTAAACCCATATTCATATGTAGCTCCCCTCAATTTAGCACACGTATTTTAAAAAGCAAGATGCTACAGAAGCAAACATTTTACAGCTTCCATTTGAATACAAGATGCATTAGCTGAAGAAAACATTAGAAGTATCCAGAAATTTCTTTACAAATGTAGGATTATTTAGCTAATTTAATAAATATCTTCTTCATGTTTCTGTCTTGTAAAAGACAAATAATTATAAAGCCTTCCTTAAAACACAGTCTCTATAAATAGACATATAATGCAATTGTTATGTAATCTTTACAGTTTTCACTATACTGTGATGCAACCAGAAAGCTGGAGACTCAACAGCTTGTAAATATTACTAAAGAACATAAATTTATCTACTCAGTCCCAACACCAATGTAACATTGCAGATCTCCAGAATGAACAGATTTCACAGGCATAAATCGATTTCTAATTGGAAAGCCAGAACAAACATTAAGGAATTAGAAATTACTGTGAATATCTGCTTTTAAGGAATTGAATAAAACACAAATTTAATTCACCCCATAGGAATTTCTGAGTCTTCACTAAGTTGAGAAGGAGCAGCTCAAAACTAGTCTGAAGTGACCTTTATTCTTTTGGTCTTTTCACAGTTACAATTTCTAATAGCACTAATCATCACCATCTCATAATTGTTTTCTGTGTAAATCCAAGGAGGCAATTGGACTAGGCTTCCAAATCAAAAGCAGCAGGAGAAATATCTCAGTGGTGCTCCCAGTCCTTGATCAAACAAAGGATGCCAACATGTCCTCTCATAACAAGACCAACAACCAGTCTGGCAAGAGACATTCTGTCCAGCTTCAAAGAAAACAATCTCCAAATTCCAAAGTCTAAAGGGAAGGTTATACAATCTCTTTTTTGTTAGTTCCATGCTAAAATAATAGTGCATTTTTATTGTCTGCTGACAACTTCACATATTCTTTAACCTGGAGGATTTTTTTGAGAAGTTAACAAGATTTTATAAAGTACATTTATGACTTACTCTTCCATTAGTAAGGAGAACTATCTTATAAAAATAAGAACTTGACAATCAATAGACACTCAGCAACTGATTTTCCCATTTTCCTTTTTTGATTCTTCCTCAATGCATTGCAAGACATTACTAAACTCATAAAACAAAGTACTGTCAACTTCCACTGGGGTAAAATAAGGTGTTGGGATAATTGAGACAAAGGTGAAATGCCTAAAACAAAACACACAATGAGGATATAATGGGGTAAAATTACTGATACAAATGACAGAAATAAAAACCAGTTTTGGTCTAAACACTCAGTGAGGGTATAGTTATTTCTCTCTGCATTCATAGTAAGTTTAATCTTCAGTTCAACGGAAGATGTGACATCAACAGAAAATTAAGAACTAGCGCTACACCACCTCTCAGCAAGGAAAGGTCTTATGGTTTCAAGGGGACCCTACCTCTATTTTCCACTCAACAGACAGATTTTCCTTTGCACTCTTACATGCAAAAGAGCTGCCAGGTAAACACATTTCCTCCTTACTTCCCAGATTCCTAGTTTGTCCCCAGAACCAGTGACTTCTGAGCACCTCCTGCCCACAGCGGCACTGGTGCACTAGTGCATTATCCACTCAGAAGCAGCACTCTACCTACTTCTCTCCCGTATGCAACAGATGTCTGCCAGACTGAGTATTGAAGCACATGGCAACCACTCTTAGAAACATGCTGTGGGTGCTCTTGGTTATGTTCAGGATGTCATAAAAACATGCTGGAATTGTCCAACAAATACCCTTCACTGAATTTGCCATTAGAGTGGTAGTTCGTAGACAAAGTTTTTGTGGCTCAAGTTTTAGTTCAAAACTGCAGTAAAGAGAGATGAAAAGGGCCCCTCTACAGAAAGTAACAATATTTTCCAGTAATTTTTGAAGGTTTGGCTGGAGTAGAAAAGATGTAGGCCCTGTTTTTTTTCCACCCCTCTCAATCCACAATCCTACAAAAAACAAGGACTTAATTCTAGTCCCTTGAGTCAGGATTGCTTTTTTTATAACCCTCTTACTGCTCCTATTTAATCTTTTCTTGGGACTGTGCACACAGCTACAGCAAGTCATGCAGCCCACTAATCTCCACAAGGAATGCAGGAATAATAAGTAAATAAATAAGGCTGGATTCAGGACAAGCAATGGCCACAGGTATTTGCAGGAATTAAACATACCATAATGTTTCCTACAAGCTACTTTCACACAACGTCTGTTTTGGTAGGATTAGAGCTGGACAGTGGAGAACAAGTTATTTTTTGCTTTGTTGCAACCAGTGGGGGGTGGATATTTTATTATTTTTTTTTCAACTTGCAAAGCAGACTGAGAAATGGTAATATTAGAAATCTGACATTTTGTACTCACTCCTGCTTGCATAAACATATGATGATCTTGTGTTTTGCCTAAGTATTTTACTATTTTTTCTATACTCTAAGACCTAACACTAAGCAAAACAAAGAGCATCATCCAAGTTCTATGGCACATTTAATCTGCTACAAAGTCTTAGTATCTCCCTCTGTCCTCCTTACTTTTTTTCAGAGTAAGAAGGAAGCTTAGTAGCCAATGCATGCAAGTTTTAAAACATATGCCAGCTAAAGATAGCAATCTGATTTTTGAAACATTATTTGCATGTAGGCATCACAATTTCTCAGAAATACCAACAGAACTTACCTTCATCTGTAGGGTTGAACCCACAGATGTCACAGATACATCGAACCCACTTATTCATCTCCTCCTCGCTGTCTGCTACCAAATAGAAAACTCTGTCTATAGTGTTGATATCAAAAATATAACTGTTTTCAAACTCTTTTTTGTTGAACGTTAATCCAGCATCCACTTGTTGACACAAATTTAAGTCAATAATACGGATAGGCTTCTTGGCATGGTCATTTTTGTAGTATTCCAATACATCTGGATCCCCTGTCAAGCGACCGCTGCGAAGCACAAACCATCTCCTCTTCCATGCCTGAAAATTGGAGTGAGAAATAAGGGAGAAAAATTAGAAGGAAGAAATCATACTTTAAGACCGTTACCTTTTGTGAATAGTTTCAACTCAAGTTGAACCAAGTAATAATAAGTAGCTCAAACATAATTTTAAGAGATTAGACACCCGTTACCTACATTTAACACAATCTATTTATGTATTGTTACAGCAGGGGAATAGAGGATTAGTGAATTTGTATTTTAGAGTTTATTTCTTCTATAATTGAGCATTGCTTTTAAGGAGGGGACATATAATTGAATCACTATTTAAAAAATAAGAAAGTATTAACTCAGTAAAGAAAAAAGGGGGGAAGAGAGCAGTGGAGGGAAAAAAGCACACATAAATATTCTGAAGGAAGCCAACATAGGCATGAAGAAGACATAAAAAAAAATATCTTCAGATGTTTCACTGTGTCTTGTTTCCAATATTGGCTGCTTTGGGCTGATGCATTTTACCTCTGAATTTTTCACTGATCCTCAATGACTAGTCACCTGCATCTCAAGAACAGACCAGGTTCACGTTGTACACTTGCCTCTGTGTTAGGGGAACTCCACACTCAGAAACTCAAGTGTTTCTACAATAATACTTCTCACAGAAGAAGAGCTACATTATTATTTTGGAAACCATTAGAGAGATGGGGATGGAAAGAATAACCAAAAATTAGTTTTACCCCATAAAAACAGTCTCTGTGGAAGGTACATCCACAGAAGAGATACATTGCACAATCTGACACTGTGCTTGTTATACCAGCCTTCCTGCCACCAAAGAGAGAAACTCATCTGGGAAAACCACACAACTAAAATGCCTCATCTTTCAACTAATCCTCAGCTGCCTTTCATTCCCAAGGTGCTCCATCATCTGGTATAGTTCTTGCCAAAGATGCTAACTCACACCAAGGTTTGCATACAACTGTCCTACCATAACAGCATCTTTATTGCCCTGCAGATTTTGGTTCCGCAGCTCTGCCAGAAATACCAAATTCTATGCTGTAAGCTTCCTTATGTGCACAAGTCCTGGGATAATGGGCACAGAAGAAGAAACTGCCATTGCCCACTAGAACTGCACTGCATTCATAGTGAGAAATCTCAAAGTAGAGCTTGGATACAGTGAGGAGCCATAATAATTTTGTCCATTTGTTTTTTGATTTTCAGCAAAGTTGGAGACCAAGCCAAACCAATGCAGTAGCCAAGACACCACGCATCATTACACTGCAGACTCACACCATGCCCCAAGTCATCCCATTTAAAACTTCTTTAGAATATCTAAACAAGGTCATCAGTAAGTCCATTGGAAGGATAAAAACAATTTTTAAGTTTCTTACCACATATTAGGAAAAGACTTTGGTTTATTTTTTTGTGGAACAAGAATGTTTCCATTTAATTATGACGTAGCTGTTACCTTCAAACAAACTTGTGGAGGGATGACAAAGGACAAAGAGCAAGAACCTCACTGCCATCCTCCAGCTCTGATCTAGCACTGTCAGCTTGGCACTAGAGACTGACAAAATCCTCATTGTCAAGTGGGCATGCCTTTTTTGGGTATCAAGCTTAGGGAGCTATTATGAAAAGATAATATAGAAGGAAAAATGCCAGACAGCTCAATTAACGCTTGTGATCCATTGTTCAGCTACCAAACCTCTAAAAGTTTTTTTATTTTTAAGAAAACTTCTGTATTTTATAAAACAATCATATTTATTATAGTTGTGAATACAGAATCTGCCTTGAAGTGCTGAACTCTGCAAATATAGTCAAGGTCTCAAGCAACAATTTCCATGGCAGCAGTAAGTTTAACTGGGTGAACAGTAAAACACAGCAGCAGATCTAACAGATGAAACTCCTTCAAATCGAGATTTCAAATGCAAGCATCTTCTACCTGATAAGCATTGTTCAACAACAACCCAAAAACACTGGCAAAGTTTGTCTTGTTTCCTGTTTCCAAACCATGTGACAACTTAGATGCTGGGATATCAGGAAACTACAGTATCAGAAGCTCTCTCCAGACAAGGTTGATCACAGATAACGGTTATGAACTAAACTGCAAAACTCTTACTTCAGAAACTAGCTTTATCTTTAACTTCAGCCTTCACCCATTCAGATGAAATTTTCAAAGCTTAAGTCAGGAGGAAAGAGATTAGATATAGGAGAGGGACAAGAGCAAGGGAGAAGCACTATGCCTTTTGTCTCATGGTTTCTGTAAGAAACACACCAAAGGAGCCCAAAAGAAAGAAATCAACTCTCTAGCAACCAAGTGTGCCTCTTCTAGAAATTTATTTCTAGTACTGTGTTAAGGAGTGAAGGAGTCAGCAGTTCTGATTATCTCTGCTGATTGTTAATGAGTAAATAGGACTCTTAAAAATTCAGAAAATCAACCAGCTAAACAGAGTATGTTTTCAGCCCTTTGGGCTGCAAAACAGGAACTATAAAATACTTAAAACATTGAATTTAGCCTACCAGCACCTGCTACTATTTTTGAAGAGTTTTCACATAGTGCACATGTGAATGTTTATTTCAGTCATATAATGAGTCACACTCACTGAAACTGGCACAGATTATATTCAAAAACAAAAGCAATTCCATAAACTACACGCTAATAAGGCAGATACAAAGGTTCTCTGGACTACAGTACAAAGAACAATTTAGCAGCAGAATAAAGCTTGACGCTAGACAAGTGAACTGACATCAGCACCCTTGCTAATCATAGTACAAAAGCGCCTCTATATTTCGTCAAAGTGCACATAAATCACTCTTTGTTATTTGAAAATATCTGGGATTCTTAAAGCTTGATCTATTTTTAACATTTCAGTATTTGTCATTGTAACGAAAGCTGTATACAGAATATTGTATGTGTAAGGAAAAGAGCTTCAGGAATGGCTTTTCAAAAAGAAATCTCTAAAAGAGACAGTGTATATGTGCAAACATGATTTGCACTTTTTTTTTTACCCTTTTGGGCATTCTTGTCTGGAAATTTTGCATATATTTTTTTTCACAGAGCATGTTTCAGATTTTTTTTCATAATCACCAAAAAAGGTACAACTGGTTCAAGTCACAGGAAAATTACATGTACTAATTATCTGTCACGCCGCTGATGCTATCAGTCATACATTATCAAACACTTGCTTTCTGTGCTAAAGGTTAATCGTGTTCAATTTCAGAAGTCAAAAAAGTACCCAGTATGGAATTTAAACATTTTGATCCAATACCAATATAATTTAATTCTAGAAAGATATTTGAGCAAGTAGAGAAAAAGTGGAGTTTTATTTTAATGACAGATTTTTTAAATATATAGCAAATGTGTATTATTAATAAAAATGAGGTTTTAAAAATAAAATTAAAAAATGTACTGACACCTAGTTACAAAACAATGCATGCACATCAAATACCTAACTGAAAAGTAAAATGGTCCCTCTTAATAGTGCAGCATGGCAAGTGTTATGGGAATCAATTCACCACCATCCTGTGTAGGCTTTGTAAATTATTACAAAACAAGCTTTAATGAGGTTTGCTGCTTTTGTTTCAGACTGAGAAAGGCCTTGTGTGCCTCTCAGCTTGTTTTCTCCTTTGAGCTGCAAAGCATATCAGCTGGCCTAACATAGGACACCACTGTTCTTGCCAAACATTGTCCCGTTTGTATCATGAGACCATCGTATCATGAGACCATCATGACTATAGAAACAAGCTTGTTTGCTTGTTTTTGACGTAGTCTAAAATGTGACAAGCTGCTCACCCACAGAGCATCAAATGATCAAAGGACTAGTGGAATTCTGTGTTTTTCACCCAGCATTTTGAGTAGGTTGTAAAGCAAAACCAAGAAATCCCTGCGATTAGTTTTTCCACTCACACAAATGCAAACTGCTGATTTAAAGCAGGTGAACCATCTAAGAAATTGACAGAAAGCACGATTTAGCAGTGTTGGGGTTTGTTTTGGTTTGAGTTTTTTGTTTGTTGGTTATTTTGGGTTTTTTTAAAGACTGTTGCTATATCTGTGTGCAGTTCACAGGATTTATATCATCTCCTAACAAGTGTTATATATGTTGAGGAAATAGCTGTATCTCCCTAAATCTCTATGTTTATGGATTGCCCACCCCGTCATATATATTCAAGATATACCTCATTCAGCTGCTGGCTATAGTTGAAAGATGTAGCAAATAGGGGATGTATGCAAAAATGGAGAATGAAAGGAAGGATGAAGGGGCAGGAAAGAGTAGATCATTTACATTTTTATTTTAAAAAGGATTTAATCTTCCATTTGGATCCCCTCAAGCTGTTGCTCAAGAGTCCAAAATAATTACATTTAATGATTAAATAAAAGGTTAGAAATGTTAAGTCAAAGACACCTTTTTCTGGCCCATTTTTTACAGCATTTACTCTCATACGGTTAAGTAATTCCACTTAATGATAAACCGGTCAATTGTCCATCTTCAGTTTGCTAGGCAGTGCCATTTAGACCTGATTTTCCTCTTCTAGCATGGTTATCACTTTTTTTTCCCCTTCAGTAGTATCCAGTCAAAAAAGCCTTGGAAACTGTTGAGCACTGGGTAAGCCAAAGAGGGTATCACTTACATCTCAAAGGTTAGAAATGTTAAGTCAAAGACACCTTTTTCTGGCCCATTTTTTACAGCATTTACTCTCATACGGTTAAGTAATTCCACTTAATGATAAACCGGTCAATTGTCCATCTTCAGTTTGCTAGGCAGTGCCATTTAGACCTGATTTTCCTCTTCTAGCATGGTTATCACTTTTTTTTCCCCTTCAGTAGTATCCAGTCAAAAAAGCCTTGGAAACTGTTGAGCACTGGGTAAGCCAAAGAGGGTATCACTTACATCTCACTCCAGTAATGCTGCTCCCAGTGTATGACCAGTAGACCCAGGAATAAAGTTACAAATCTCAGACCTTCCTTCTCATCTCTCAAGTGTGCAGACATTTGTGCTTAGGTTTTCATCTCTGTTAAGAGGGCACTATTTGGCATCCTCCTTTCCC